TCATCATTTTCAAAACATTTTCTTTCTACTTGAACCCTTGGTATCAGCTCCTCTTTTTTCCCTCCTTCCCTCCTCCCACCCTTGTGAACCCTTGATAAATTATGATAATGTTCATATCTTACACCGTCTGCTGTCTCCCTTCACCCACGTTTCTGTTGTGTGTTCCCCTGAGGGGGAAGGGGAATGTTTTACCTAGATCATTGCGATCGGTTCCCCCTAGTAACTGCTTTTTGACTCACCCTTGTGTTAAATACGGCAAAACACATCAATTCAAGTTTCAATTTGTACAGTTCAATGGCGTTCAAATACATTAATCCGCATGCACATTGTTTGACTTCTGTCGGTTAAATCTTTTGTTTGTTTAATTGTGGTGCAAACATATTCAACCATGCAACAGTTTCACACACCCACAATCTAGTGACACTGATTAGACTTCACACGTTGGGCTTCAGTTTTCCTGAGATGCGTGAATGCGTTTTCTTCACAAGGCCATTGTAAGAACTCTCTCTCTGTCTCTCTCTCTAGACAGTGTAACAAAAGCTTAGCTTGTTCTAAGATGTTGGGCAGAGGGCCGGGAACTTGATTGTGCCACGGTGAGTGGAAAGCTGGAGGACAGTTAAGTCGAGATCCATTATTTAAAGTTCTGTTTTAAGAGAGAACTAATTCCTAAATCACAGCGGCTTGGATCTACTATTTCGGACTCGGGGTTTTGGTAAGCGGTTACGTGCTCTCTCTCTCTTTGCGAGACGAAGGCGTAACGGTTTAGAGCGAGCAATCCCTCAGCTAACTCAGGTTCAAAGCCTCTGATTTCGGTATCAGGTCGCTCTTAAACTAGAACTTTAAATAATGGAGCTGGACTTAACCCTGGCCAATCCGAGCCTCGCAAGTGCAAACCCGGAGGATTGTGGGACTTGTAGTCTTTCCTAATGGCATCCGTTTCGCGAACTACATTTCCCAAGATGCAACTGTAGTCCGCCAGTCTCGCAGTCCGCTGTGAAGGACCACAAGGTAAGTGTGTGCTGTGCGAGCTGCAGGTTTCCAGAAGTTGTGGAGTCCTTGTAAGAGGTTCGATTTGTCCCGTTTGCCGATTGTTGGGACCTGGAAGAGAACAGGTCGCGCACGTCGTAGTCGCGTGCGTTTTCAGCGGGGTTTGCCTGCCCTTTGGTCTCGGGGAACCGGACACAAGGTTCTTGCTTTGCTGTTCACGTGTGTCGCTGGAATGTCAAGGAGAAAGTGGGAAACTGATCTCAGAGCTGGAAAGCCAGTCATAAAATAACGTCTCCACTTGGAGTGCGTGCCACTAGAGAGGTCCTGCATTGCATCGATCTGTCAATGCCTTGTTTGTGTAGCTATCAAAGCTGACCTGCAAGGGGACAGCGCCTTATACATGTTAGGGGGTGCGGTGCTCAAGGAAAAAAGTGATAAGAGCTGGATTCCAGCATGGCATACCATAAGGGCGATATATAACTTACATCACAAGGTCTCTATGTATTCTCTTTATATTACAAAGTATATGTTATATCTAGTTTCCCTCCAGTACAGAAAGCCTTGGCAGGCCCACCACCGGCCATTGGAAATTCATCGTCAGCTGATGGTGGTAGCGGAGCAGAGCTCCAGTGATGGGTTCTTAGGGAGTCAGAAGACAAGATGGGCTTAGGTTGGTCGGAAATAGTCCAGTGTGCACAAGGGACTTTATTGGTGGAAGCTATTAGAGGATCTCAACCACAATATAATCTTCAAAAGGAAAGATTATTTAGGAAGCACCGAGTATCTGCTAACGGTGATGGAGAATTTGTCAGGGGATACAGGTTTTGGTTAATAAATCTGAGCTTGCCACCGCATATGCAAATAATGTTGAACTGGCAAAGGCTACGTTCCAGACAAGGGGCTTCAAAAAGTTTGTGTGTGTGTGGGGGGGTGATGTTCATGGGAAAATTCCATTTTCTTTTCCTCAACAGTTTTATTGGCACATAATTTACATACCATACAGTTCAGTCGTCCAATCGTATCAAGAAGAATTGCACAATCATTACTACATCAATTTTAGAACAGCCCCCCTCCATGGTTAAATCACCTTTAATCTTTGTTGTGCACTCACAGTCAGTTATAGTGCTCCCTCCCTCTCCCACTCCCCCTTTCATTGTTTGCTCCTGAAATCTTCTTCCCCCTCCCTCTACCCATCACCCACCCCTATTCCCCCTCTAAACCCTTGTTTCAGTATTATCAGTATTATCAGTATGGATCTGCTCTTCCTGTGCTTCACTCACTGGGAAACCCAACAGAACAATCAAAAACAAAATGGAAATAAGGTGCTAAGGATAAAATAATAATAATAATAATATAAATAATGAGTAAGAAAGAAAGGACCCCTCTCGACATTCAAAAAGACAGGGAAGAAATTTCTGTCATGGAACAAGTAAGAGATACTTGCACCCAGAACAAATTCAGGTCAGGTCTACAGGGGGGTCAACTAGCCAAGTATCTAGTTTGATCCCACACAATCAAGATTACAATGTTCTCTGCCTGAAAGTAAGACTGTTCCAGACTCTTGCCTGTGACTAGAGTGGATCTGCCATCGGCTCAGTCTGACCAGATACTATGCAGATAGGTTTGGGGCTCCCACTGCCCTCCATCGCCTGCTACAATTTGGGTGTTCATAATTTTAGCTCAGATACTTTTCCCTTCGCCATATTCAGTTTTTGTAATTGTCATCTTTGGATCACACAAGCTGTGTGCTTCTTCTGTGTGGACTAGTTGACTCCTTGCTTAGAAGGCTGCTTGTTTGAATACAAACCCTTAAGATCCCAGACACTATTCCGATTGATAGCCGGGCACCATCTACTATCTTCAGCACACTTTGCCTTAGCACCCTTATCTTCAGTGATCATTTCATGAAGGTGAGTATGGAGCAGGGCCATGTTATCAGAACTAACTGTTCTTGGGTTGGGGCTCAAGTTCAGCAGGAGCCCAGCCTCCATCTGTTTGTCCATGGGGTTTGCATATCTCAGGTTTACTCTGGCGGTTGTCATATGAAAAATCACAACTCTATCAGACCAACTGCATCAATAGCAGCCATAAGCCAACCAGCAACCAAACAGAACACACACACACACACACACACACACACACACACACACACAAATAAATAAATAGAGAGAGAGAAAGAAAGATAAAACAAACTACTGCAAGCCGGAAAGCAAAATCCATATAAATAAAGAAGGACAGCATTGTCAGTCACCCCCTGGGGAACAAGTCGATTGCGATGTTATCATGATTAATTTTCTCAGTGACCCAGCTCTCCAGACAGCGTCGGTATGAGGAGTCTGTGTGAACACAGTTAAACCTTGAGCTGCACAATTCAATCTCCCATTCGATTGGGCCCTGATGCCAGCGGGGCACCTTCCTGGATCAATTCTTCCAAGTGCAGATCCCTGCTCAACAGATCAGACCCTGTCGTCCTACTGCAAAGTGGGCATCGAGGTACTAAATATCTGGTGATCCTGGGTCCCTTTCCATTGGCCACTCACCGAGCCGGGGTTTCCCCCAAGACCATTCATTATCATTTCATCCCATTTTCCCATGAACATTTTGCAGCCTCCTCCTTTCAGGTTCAGGAATTGGGTTGCTAACCTCAAGGTCAGCAGTTCGAAACCACCAGCCGATCTATGGGAGAAAGATGAGGCTGTCTACTCCCACAAAGGGTTTTATAGTCTTGGAAGTCCGCAGGGGCAGTCCTCCCTGCTCCACAAGGCTGTTGCCATGAGTGGCATGGACTCGATGGCAGTGAGTTTGGGTTTTGCTTGCCTCAGGTTTGTCAGAGGGCCTGGCACTGTGCTGGGGCCCACTGTTACCTGTGAGGGCTGAGGGGTGCCTCGAGCACTTGCTCTTGCTTTTCCCTTGAGGGTGGTGGTGGAGAGGGTGGGCGGGGACAAGTGTATTAGTATCACCCTGGCAAGGGGTCTGTTTTCCTGGATCGATAAACCTGGAGCCCCAGGGTCCAGTGCAAGCTTGTGTGATCAGCTCCTGAATTTCCTCGCATCCTTCGAAAGGTCCTAGTGGATTCATCGAGAAGACCGACTGTCAGCACGCTGTGCTTGTGGGTGGGTGGAAGAAAGGGGGTCACCAGGACCTTTATTTCCATCACCATCAAGAGAAACCCTTGACCCTGTAGCTGCTGCCCCCCAGCTAACGCCTTCATCCACCCCAACCCTGGACAACCACTAGTCTACTAGACCATAGACATTTGCCCTGTCTGTGCATTCCATATAAGTGCAGCCATCCGTGGGCTCCACTTATCCTAATGATTTCAGTATTCATCCACCCCATCGTGGGTAGGAATACTTTTCGCAGCCCGAAGCGATTCCGTTATCTCAACAGGCCACGTTTGTTTATCCATCCATCAGTTAATGCTTGGCTTATATGTAGTTTTTGTTGTTGAAAATATGCACAGCCCTTTGTGGTTTGAAAACCTAGTTTCTCAATTGCGGTTGTTTTTTGTTTTTCTTTTACCAGTCTTACCGACATATACATTTTGTTTTGTTTCTCCTAGAATAAAGATGAGCTTTGGGTGGACTGTCAGGTCAGCGCCAGGTCGCTGGACCACCCTAAGCCCCAGCAGTCGGGGCGCACACGGATCGACTGGGTTATTTGTGCCCTCTAGTCCCCCTGTGGACCCTGAGAAGGTCAAAGAGCTGCAGCGCTTCATCAGCCTTTCCAAGAGGGTCTTGGTGGTGACCGGGGCGGGCATCTCCACGGAGTCGGGCATCCCAGACTACCGGTCCGAGGGCGTGGGGCTGTACGCTCGCACCGACCGCAGGCCCATCCAGCACAAGGACTTCGTGCGGAGTGCGCCCATCCGCCAGCGCTACTGGGCCCGAAACTTCGTGGGCTGGCCGCGCTTCTCCTCCCACCTGCCCAACCCGGCGCACTGGGCGCTGAGCAACTGGGAGCGACTGGGCAAGCTGTACTGGCTGGTGACCCAGAACGTGGATGCCTTGCACACGAAGGCGGGGAGCAGGCGCCTGACCGAGCTCCACGGGTGCATGCACAGGTCGGGCCAGGGCCACGTGGTCTGAGCCAGGGACACCTGTGCCCGTGCAGGGGGCGCCGGGGAGATGCCGGCAGGCCTTTTATTATTTTTTTGTCTTCCCCTCCAAACTTTTGTATTGTGTATGAGGTCTGGGTGTGTTTGGGGTAGGGTGGAGGGGGTTCACATATCAGATCATCCCTTCTGCATTCCACAGCTTAAAACAGCTTGTCGAAGCTCATAGTGGCTTGCCCTGTTACCCCCACCCCCACCCCCTTTATTTTATTTCAATATCCCACTTGTAGTCTGTTCTCTCACCCGAGGAGCTAGCACACCCTCCGTCTACCCCGCGGCCTACTGCTTCCCCGTAGCCAGCAGTCTGTTTCCCTTTTGATATGGAAAGCTGTATCTTGAGTTTTTCCCCCTTTCTTTCAACTAATCGTGGTCTTGAACAATATCGGCCCCTTTGGGTTTGGCCAACTTCACTCAGCGTAACGTGCCCCTCCACATCCATGATGGGGCTTCACATGCCATCATCGTTCCTTAAGGAGGCGACGATTCCATCGTGCGCCTGCACCAGAGTTGATGCATCCATACTGCTACCGTGCTGGGGTGAAGGCCTGAGAGACTGTCCGGACACCCTTCCCAAGTGTCTCACCGAAAGCCCAGGAAGCTGGGTCCTTGGCTGAGGGTCACTGGGGGGCATTCACTCCCCATCACTTAAGCCCTGCTTCCCCGGAGGCAGCTTCCAGGCCGGAGAGTGCCTGAGAGCAAGGCGGGGCCGTGGAGGGAGGCTGGTGTGCTGGTGGGCTGCAGTGGGCTGAAGGGGGGGAGTGGGTCGCTGAGAGCCTACGCTACAAACTGGGAATGAACACGCGCAGGGCAGGATGGTGTTGGTGTTGTGTCTGCCATCCTGGCTAAGCAGAGACCGTTTCTCTGCCTTCACGCCCCCGAGATCCTCCTCAAAGGACCCAGTGGGTTGGTCTGCCAGTGTCTTGGGTGCCTGCTACGTATGTGGGTATCGGTGTGCCCGCTTGGTCGTGGGGAGGGGAGCCCAGATCCTAGCGTCACACGCACATGACCTGCTGGCCTCGGTGGTGTTTTGGGAACACCGCGTGTTGAACAATGAACAACTCGAGTGGACACATGGTTGTGCGGTCCTTGAAGTAAAGGCGAGGCGCCCTAGTGGGTTCAGGGGCTTGGACCTGCCACAGCCGCTCGTGGGGAGAAAGACGGGCTACCTGCTTCTTTGAGATGTACAGCCTTGGAGAGAAACAAAGATGTACGGCCTTGGAGATGCTTTGGGGCAGTTCTGCTCGGTCTCCAGGATCGAATTGTAGGATCACTGTGAGCCAGAGTCGACTTGAAAGGTTAAGATACAGTTCTTTTACCCCAAGCACCTCTTCTCAGCGATGCCGGTGGCCACACCGCTCTGAGCCGCTTGGCCTCTGCCAGGCTCAGGGTAGTGAGTGTCGCAGAGCTCCTGAAGCGGGGAGGGTGTCCACCTTCAACCCCGCTACAAAGCCAGCCTCTTTCCTGCTGCTTGTCTCTGTCCCATGGTCTCTGCCGTCTCTGGGGCTGCTTCTCCACAGAGATCTCAGACGTGCTCCGCGGTGGCTCTTCCCGTTTGCTCCTCCTGCTGCCGGATGACTTGCTGTATACAAGTGGGATTGTAAAACTGACCAGTCCCCTCCGGAGAGTCCTGGGGACCCTATTTGCATATCCCCACCCAGTCATTTGGAAGGGGAAATGGGGAGCTGAGGACAGATGGGTGCGGGTGGGTGTCTGTGGCCATCGGGCGTCCAGTGACTGCTCCTTTGTTTCCAGGGTGCTGTGCCTGGCCTGCGGCGAGCAGACTGCCCGCGGACAGCTACAGGGGCGCATGGCCGAGCTGAACCCCACCTGGAGCGCGGAGGCCCACGGCCTGGCTCCCGACGGCGATGTCTTCCTCACAGAGGGGCAGGTGCAAAGCTTCCAGGTCCCAGCCTGTGCTCGGTGCGGAGGGCTCCTGAAGCCAGATGTCGTCTTCTTCGGGGACACGGTGAACCCGGGCAAGGTTGACTTTGTGCACCAGAGGGTCAGAGAAGCCGATGCCCTCTTGGTGGTGGGATCATCCTTGCAGGTATCTCGTTTGTGGTCAGGGTGGCAACTGACCCTTTGGAGGGTGAGAGGAGCCCTCTGTGGTTTCTATCTTCTGCACCTAGAGCGCTCACCTGGGTTCTCCCTGTGCAGGTATACTCGGGCTATCGGTTCATCCTCACTGCCCAAGAGAAGAAGCTGCCAATCGCCATACTCAACATCGGGCCCACCCGGTCGGACCCGTTGGCGTGTCTGAAACTAGATTCTCGCTGTGGCGAGCTGCTGCCTCTGATCGACCCGCACTGAGCCCAGGCTGATGTTCCTAAGCCAGACACTGGGCCTTCCACTTGAGTGCAACGCAGTAAAGGTAAATGCCTCCTCAGCCACCAGACTCCAGCTGAGAGTCGCAGCCGCAGACAAAATACAGAAGGCTGTAGGATCCTCCACGCTACCACAAAGGTTGGGGGTTTGAGGCCACCCAGAGGTGCCTTGGAAGAAAGGTTTGGGAATCCTTCCCCCCCAAAGGCAACCATTCAAGATGCTATGGTGCCTCGATGAACAACTGCCTCCTTCGCCAGGGCACCAGAAGACCAGTGTTGGGGTACAGGGGTACCCCAACGGGCCCTCAGGAGTGACTTTGCGATTGTGGGAACTATTAAATACAGGCAGACAGACAATGGGGCACAGGGGCTCCTCGCCCCATGTCAGGATTGAGGGTAAATGTATAGAATGGGGCTCACAGATCCTTGATAAGGCATGCACACCCTATAGCTAACATGTAGGCAGTCAGTGGGTGATATCTTAAGTGGGTAACAATAAACAGACAATGAGGCGAGTCGGCGTCTTGAACTAGTGCTAGTTGACTCTGAACAACCCCCCCCCCCCCCAAGCCAGGGGTAGTAATCTCTGCTCAGTATCAGCAAGAGACATCAAGCTAGCTTGCTGAACCTGCTTGCTCTTATCTACAGGTAACGGTCAGGCATGGTGAAGTAGCCAGACACAGAAATGATGTGTCTATGATGGAGAGCTATTGTGGGGGGTTGGGGTGGGGGGCACGTTATTCTGCCTGGAGAACGTCCATTTGAAAACATTTCTATCTCGGGACCATGGAAATCTTTCTCAAAATAGGGCTAATTTTCCGTGCCCCTGGTTGCGAGTGTATTAATATGGTCAAATGCTTTCTACCAAGTCCTCAGTTTACCACAGACCAGTTTACCCCTGGTGGCCATTATCGAATCTTTTGAACAAAGATTCACTAGAAGAATCCTGATCAAAAGGGGGTGGAGGAACAGAACAGAGGTGAAAAAGTTTCACCGAATCTAGTAAAGAAGGTCAGCCGAACTAGCTATGTGACATAAATTGACAGTAGCAATCAGTCGATGGGAACCCCGAGGGGCAGTAAGTTCATATGTTAATGAGGGAGGAACAGGACTCGGAATAGCAGGGGGAAACTGTTCCCCCATTCCAAGTTTGTAACCAGTGACAGATGGTTATGTGTGGACAGTCGACTTGGTCTGTTTGGCTATGTCTGTTCTAACCAAATAAAATAATTAAAATAGATAAAGGAAACCCCATGGAGCGGCATTCTACACGCTTGGGGCTATGTTGGCATGAATGCATTTCATTTCTTCTCAGAGCCCTAAGGAGTCATCCCTTCCTCCTGACTCGCTGACTGTGCCCTCCAGAGGGCAGCACGCCCACACCTGCCCACACCTCTGCCGTCCCAGCTCTGGACCGGGCGACTGTCCGGCCACGAGTTCAGAAAGGTCTGCCAGGATTTGCCCCTGAAGACGTTTTCGAGAGGGGCAGCTGCTCCAGATGGAAAAACCTGCCTCCACTTCCGTTTCTCTCCAGGGGCAGAAGACCAGGCCAGGGAACGTGAGGGCGAGCGTGGCCTCTGGTGTGTCCACGCAGGGCGCCCACTCAATGGGGAGACACAATGGAACGAATCAGCTTCCCATCCCAAGGGGTGAAGTGTGTGTCGCGAGTCTTTCTTTTCAAGGAGCCCCATGACAAGATGGCAATTTTTAGTCACGCCAGAATAAAGGAAATCTCTGTTTGAACAGCAGAATGGGTGGGTGGGCTGCCTCTTTAGGGTTGCCTTTTGTCCGAGAGCCAAAAGGAAAGGGGCTTCAGGACACTGTTCTCCAAGGATGCATCTCTGGGTTCCACTGCCAGAATGAGACACCCGTCTTGAACCCCCACCTCTGAGCGGAAGTGCCGAGTTCCCGGCAGGCTCTGGGGTTCATCTGTGTCTGCAGAGGGAAGCGACAAGGGGGGTGGGAGAGTGGCTCCAATCTGCCAGACTCACTGCGGCCCAGGAAAGGCTTGGCAGGATCACAAAGTGAGGCGCATGAGAGGAAGCCCGGGCCCCTATTCTGGGAGCCTTTTGTCCAAAATGAGGGCAGGCCGGGAGGGATGTGTTCATTCTGCACCTGTCTAGGAAGCCAGTTGAGGCGACCTGAGATCCCGAGAAGACAAGGAGGTCCTTTCACGGCAGGTTTGCTAATTCATTCGGAACAGGTGGTGGATGATGGAGAGCCTCATTCCAGCACGTTGTTTGCAAAAGGTTGTAAGGGGCCCTGAAGCAGGTTGATTGTTCCCTTACCTACAGGCAGGAAACAGGAAGCCCTGGGTCCTTTGAGTCTCTACCAGTGTCATCCAGAGTCAGTGACTGGTGGAAGCAGACAGCCTTCTTTTTCTCCCTCAGGGCAGCTGGGGAGGATGGGGTGGGGGTGGGGTGGGGGGTGTTGCAGACCTGGCTGCTCAGCCCACAGTGCCACCAGGGCTCCTTACAATGAACAGGAAGCACTTAAAACCCATCTCCTAAGGAAGGGAGAAGGTAAAGGGTGGTCCCTCCTCACCATGGAGTCTCACTGAGTCAGACAATGGGATGACGTCCTGAAGACAGCACCACTCAGATGGACCATGAGATGCCCGGCTGAGCACAGGGGGCCACTGTCTACCCTTTACCGGATGATGTCATTCTCCTGGGAAGTCCACGCTCGGCTGAGCCACAGGGACCCAAAGGAGAGTAGTGGTTGCTGAGGGCTGTGGAGGGAGGTGATGGAGCTCGGGGCAGGGAGACAGGCCCAGGCACACTATTTCTTTTTGGGGGTCATGAAAATGTTTGAAAATGGACTTTGGGGGTGTTTGCCCAACTCCGAGTCTGGTGAAAAGCCCGATATTGTACACTTTGAAGGGGACCTTTTCTAGTCTGTGAATTGTCTCTCAACTGAGCAGTTTCTAACAAACCAACAGTGACATACAGGGTTTTGAGGTCCTGGGGCTACAAGCACACAGCTTCGTGCCCTCGTGTCCAGAGTAAGCCACCCAACATCAAAGTCAATTTTTTAACTTCCTGGGCTGTGGGCTTGTGGAAGCCTTCCTTCTGAGGACCCTGCGGGCAGGCTGGAACCCACCCTCTCCATTACCATCCAGCGCTCACTGCACACAGCAAAGAGTGCTGGGGAGGCCACCCCGATCCTCTCCAAACCAGCAGGAGAACCAGGGGTGCAGACTTCATTCGGGTTACTTGGCTTGCAGGGCACTGTGGGCCATTGGTCTGCAGGACAGGAGGGCAGAGATTCCGCCTGCGATCCAAGGACAGGGGGGCAGTCACAGCGGCCAAGGAGACCTGCGACGGTCGGAATGTGGCGGTGGGAGCTGGACAGGGGCCTGGACAGGCTCTTCAGCGCCTTCACACAGGCACAGAGCAGGCAGCCGAGTCTTGAAGGCCTTGGGCGTGTTTGATCTGTTCTTTATTTCCTCCCCAAGGGAAATTCCCTTTAAAAAAAAAAAAAAAAGAACAATCCACAGAGAATTTGGCACTTTGTGACTTTCTCCTTGCTTTGACATCTTTCAACCACCGTGGCACTTCCTCGCCCCTTCTCAGCCTGGTCTCCCGGAGAATCACGCATCCTCTGGGGGGTTCTGTCAGCTCACACTGTGCACTAGATCTGTGGTTCCAATGGCATAGGCCCGGCCTGCTGCGTGACACCAAGGCGTGCCGTGGTCACTCTGCCCTGCGGCTCCACCACCGCAGAGCTGTAAATAGTCAGACAGGCAGCAGGTCCTGTCCCTCCGCGGCACCCGCTCTGTTTCGCTGGGGCCAACGATCCCATAGAGCGCAGATGGCATTTATGATTACGAAGTGAGCAGGTTTCAACTCTGGAGAGAAATGCTCCAGATACAGCTCTTCAATCAGGACAGTTCCTGTGCTGCCGTGCCCGCAGGCTGGATTCTCTGGCCCTCAGCCTCTTGGCCTGGCCTCTGCCCTGCTGGGGCAATAGGGCAAAGCTCTTTTAGGGCTACCAAGACATGCCCAAAGGGCACCCCGCTCTTCTGTAAACCTCATCCCAAAAGCACTCAGCTCCAGCGCCCACAATTCGGTGTCCCAGGGTCACCCTGCTACACGAGCCAAGCTTCTTGCCCCAAAGCACTCGTTTAATTTGCTCTGTGGGCTGGACAATCCACTGTTCGGACTCTGGTTCTGTGCCACCACTCCTCAGGCATCTCCTGGATCAAGGAGGTTCACTGAGCAGGAACCTTGGGATCCAAAGGACGGGCTCTACCCTGGGCTCTTTTATGTGGACAGTGGAGAGAGCTCCACTTCTTGTTTCTGAGACAGCTTATACCCGTGGTATGGCGATCACACCTCACCCTGTTAACTCCCTCCCAACAGTCCTATAACCCAATCCTATAACCCAATCTGTATTCCCGCACCAGGCATCCTCCACCCTGCACCCATCCAGCAAACAAAGGTGCATGGGTGGGAGTAACAAAGGCTCAGGGGAGCTGAGCCCTCCTGATGAAGTCACTACATTTCAGCTATATCACCCTTGAAACTTCCCTCCCACAGATGCATACTCCTTGGTGGGTGCTGTCATGAACTACCTCTCCTTTTTCAAAAATGGCACGGGTGGGTGGGAGTCCAATAGCATTTCCTGAAGCCATCTGGTAGATCCTAAGCACTGATGTGAACCTTTTATAGAGGACGCACCAGCTCGTGTAAGAATTTACTCCCCAAGAGATGTGTGGGGAGTCCTGAGGGTTGCTCTGTGTTGAATGCTGATGTTTTTCTGAAAGGATCCAAGGAATGGCCCTCCCCACTCCTCAGCGGGCTCCAGAATGACCAGGGCAGGGGGCTGTCAGAGCCACAGCCTGGGTGAGGGGGTCGGCCAGCTCCGAGGGGCAGCAGAGGCTGCCACCAGATTTCCCATCTGTCGTCCTTGGTGACATTCAAGAGGGCACGGGGAGGCCCATTTTTATGTCAAAAAAAACCCCATGAATTCAAGAAAAAGCAACAGTAACTCACAGAGCCAGGCGTTTGGGGGATCTGTTACCTTTGGGGGGAAGTCTCAGCTTGAAATTATTCTCAGTTCAGCTTGTTTTTCGTTTTTGTTTTTTCTCCCCAATGTACTGGAAAAGGGCTAGAGCACAGAACTGAAACTCAGGGTACAGACACGGCTGGGATTCCACTCCCTGCCTTGCCACTTGCTAGTTCCCGGAGCTCAGGCAGGGGGTTTTCCCTCACCTGTCACCTTCATTCTCCTGCTCGGTACATGGGGACAAGAGGCGCTATCGCACCTGGTTGTGACGATGGTTAAACAAGATGAGGTGTGTGTGCGAAGCCCGTACAGCTCCTAGCAGGGTAAATGAAGGTCAGTGTGAGGATGTGGGAGGAGGGGGGAGAGTGAGCGGGGAAACTGTACCACACAGGGTAGGTACAACATATGTACAACGGCACAGAGACAAGGCCTGGTCTTTGTGATAGGTAGGTTTATTGTGCCCACCTGGCCAATAGGAACATGTGGGATTCATAAGATTGTATTTTGATCAGAGGGCAGAGAGATAAATGGCTCGGCAAGCCCCACTTGTGTCTCTAGCTCTCTGGTGATCAGACCAGCATGCGGGTGCTTTAGGTCAATGGTTCTCAACCTTCCTAATGCCGCAGCCCTTTCATACAGTTCCTCGTGTTGTGGTGAACCCCCAACCATAAAATTATTTTCATGGCTACTGTACTTGTGCTACTGTTTTGAATTGGGCAACCTCTGTGAAAGGGTCTTTTGACCCCCAAAAGGGTCGCGACCCACAGGTTGAGAAACACTGCCTTAGCTAGTGCTTTACCTTAACTTGCAAGCTACACTACCCATGGGACACCCAACCCGTGGATCATGTCCCTAAAGCTTGAGGTTGCTTGGAGACCTGCTTCACCACGCTGCTGGTGTGTACATCACTTCAGTTGGGGACTGTCGGATCCTCTCCTCTGGCTGACTGTTGGTGACCTGCCCTGCTGTTTGTTGCCTCTGGC